CATTGATGCTTCCTTCATCTCTTTTCTAAAGGATAAAAGTTCCCAGCTTGAGTTTCAGCTCATAAACGCTTCCCTGAAATTTGCAGTTACCACACTAGAGATGTTCGCTCCTTCAGTTATCTTTCTTCAACTTGCTCACCTCATTGCTTCCTTCTGAGGAATGATGTATGAGGTGCCTTTATTCATGGACTTAAAAACCATGGACTTAATAACTGCTAAATGTGGTGTGAGGGGGAAGGTATAGTTCAAGTGGTAGAGCACATGCTTAGCATGCACAGCGTCCTGGGTTCATTCCCCAGTACCTCCTCTAAAAGTAAATAAATAAGTAAACCTAATTACCTCCCCACAAATTAAAAAAAAAACCTAAAAAAAAATAACTGCTAAACCCAACAACATAATTGAAAATGTCTATTAGGGATTTTCATAGGATGTCAAGTGGGCATTTGGATATACATTTATGGAATTCAGGGGAGAGTTCCTCACTATAGACATAAATTTGGGTGTCCTTACTGTCTGAATGCCCTTAAAGCTGTGAGTTGAGATATTATTGCAAATGAATGAAGAAAATTAGAGTAGAGAAAAATGAGGACTAAATCTGGAGGGCTACATTTGGAGGATGGTGAAGTGAGGAAGACACATTAAAGGAGACTGAGAAATAGTAGCCAGTGAGGCTGGAGTACCACCAAATAATGCACAGATCTGACAGCCAAGTGAAGTAAGTTTTTCAGTCAGCAATAAACAAAGTCACTGACAAATCAGGTAAATTAAGTTAAAGAATTAGACCGGACTTTATAAGGTAGAGTGTGTTGGTGACTCTTCAGAGCAGTTTCTGTGGGTGCTAGTAGTTAAAGCCTGATTGGGTTGACCTCAGACCCAAATGCCCATCAGCAGATGAATGGATTAAAAAAAGTTGTGGTGTATCTACACAATGGAATATTATTCAGCCATGAGAAAGGAGGACACCCTCCATTTGCGACAACATGGACGGACCTTGAGAATGTTATATTAAGTGAAATAAGTCAGATAGAGAAAGACAAGTCCCGCATGGGTAACACTTATATGTGGAATCTAAAAAAAAAAAACAAAAAACAAAAACCTGTAAAAACAGACAGTAAAATGGTGGTTACCAGGGGAAAGGGGGTGAGGGAATAAGACGGATAGTGTTTAAAGGTACACACTTACAGAGTAAGCTATGGAGACCTAGAGCACAGTATAGTGAACAAAGACCATACTATTGTACTATAATTATATAATGTGATAAATATCACTACAAGGGCAATCATATTACAATATATAAATGTATCAAAGTAACACACTGTACATCCTAAGTTTACACAAGGTTACATGTCAAATTTATTCAATACAAAATAAATGAGAGAAAAATAACAGAGAGACAATACAACAACCCCTTCGGAAGAGTTTACAATGAATCACGCATAGACAAGTGGCTGGAGCTGAAACAGATTGGGGAGTTGTTCAGAGACAGGTTTTTTTCCCTAAGAAATCATATATATTGAATGCTATTAGAAATGAACTAATCAAAGGGGGAGATGGATGATGCAGATGAGAGAGGGGACAATTAGCAGAGCTGTCTTCTAAAGCAGGCAAAAATGATGAGTTCCACGCATAAGAGGAAGTGTTGGTCTGAAGCGCAACTACAAATGAACACATTACTCTCAAGAAGAAACAAAGAGCAGATCATTCTGGAAAACTTAGTTGAATTTATTAATAATATAACTTGTCACAAAACACCACCAGTCCTAAATAGTTTTATAGACAAGTTCTTTCAAGCAGGTAAGGAAATTAATCTCAAAACTGAAGGAATGACTTCACATAATACCCAAGATATGGAAATAACATAAATGCCTGTTGATGGGTGAATGAATTTTTAATAATACGGTACACATGTACAATGAAATATTATTCAGCCTTAAAAAAGAAGGAAATGCCATCATTGGTGAGAACATGGGTGGATCTGGAGGATGTATGCTAGGTGAATTAAGCTAGACACAGAAAGTTAAATACTGTATGACCTCACTTATATTTGAAATCTAAAAGTGTCAAACACATAGAAGCAGAAAGTAGAGTGGTGTTCACAGAACACAAATTCATGTATTAAATTGCAAGCTCAAAAAGAAGCAAATTAATTTAATAAAGTGTATAGCAGTACATACAGGGATGTTAACAAGATGTATGAAAATGAGAATTTTGTAGAGTACAGTGGGTCAAATACAAACAATCTAATACTGGCCAATCCAATGTCTGTCTCCATGGAAGTAGTTCCCTTCCTTTTCTTTGTGTCTTTTCCACTTTTGTCTTAAGGATACGTGTGATTACATTTAAAGGCTAACCAAATAATTTTGGATAAGTTCCTCCACTCCAAAGACCCTTTTTCCAAGTAAGTAACACTCACCTGTTATCATATAAATTAATATTCACAAGATAGGAAGGTTAGGATGTGGACATATTGTTTCGAAGGCCACTATTCAAATTCACTCCAGAGATGTTCTGGTGGGCTCCATGGAAAGGTCTGTGACAAACTGTCTCAGGGACGGAAAGTCAGGTCTCTTTTTCTGGGCATCATGTCCAAGTGTGACACTTACATTTGCTGCCACCAACTGGTGGACCCTGAGAAGGACCAACCCTAGGACAAAGGCACCTCATGTAGGAGTGAATGAATACCAGCTCCCTTGTTCCTGTGCTTACCTACATCTAAAGTCGTTGTCAAGAAAAGTAACTTCATTGTTTAATCATATTAGAGTAAGGGTTTCTTTTTCTCATTAGAACTAAAGGCTCCTCACTGATGAAGTTCAAATGTCTCATAATCACCTCAACAATGTAAATGTACTTAATACCAATAAACAGTCAACTTAATAGTGATTAAAATGTTAAACGACACTGATTTCCAAAGCATTCTTGAGAAAAAGCAATGCTGGAGGCATCATGTGTCCTGATTTCAAACTATATCACAAAGCTATAGTAATCAAAACAGCATGGTACTGGCATAAAAACCAAGACATAAAACAATGGAACAGAATCCAGAGTCCAAAAGTAAGTAAGTAAGTAAGTAAGTAAGTAAGTAAGTAAGTAAGTAAGTAAATAAATAAATAAACAAACATATATATAATATATTAATATATAGTCAGCTAATATTTGACAAGAGTGTCAAGAATACTAAATGGGGAAAGGATGGTCTCGTCAGTAAATGGTTTTGGGAACACTGGACAACCACATGCAGTGAAACTAAATTGGACTCCTATGTTACACTACTCACAAAAATCATCTCAAAAATGGATCACAGACTGAAACATAAGATCTGAAACCATAAAACTCTTAGAATAAAATGTATGGCACAACTTTTTGACCTCTGTCTTGGCATTGATTTTCTGGATATGACACCAAAAGCATAAGCTACAAAAGTAAAAGTTAGCAAATGGGACTCCATCGACTAAAGAGTAAAAATCACAGAAAAAAGACTGTAGAACTGTGGTTATCAAAGAGCTTGGGGAAATGTGGAGATGCTGGTCAAAGGGTATGGACTTCTAGTTACAAGATTAACTTCTGAGGATCGAATGTACAGCGTGATGATTACAGCTAACAATGGGGTATATATACATGAATATTGCTAATAAAATAGATCTTAAATATTTTCACTACAAAAAGAAATGTTAATTATGTGACAGGATGAAGGTTTTAGTTAATCCTATAATGGTAATCATTTTGCAATATATCAATGTATCAAATCAACAAATTGTTCACCTTCATCTTATACAAACTTATATGTCAATCATACCTCAATAAAGCTGGAGAAAAAGTCCCAATCAAATGTTGGGAATCAAATACTAGCCACATAAACCCAATTTTTGTTGCCATGGATACATAACCTCCTTTTCCCTGTGTCATTTCCATTTCTGTCTAGCTTGTAAGAATACATCTGATTTTATTTAGGACCTGCCCAGACAATCTGGGATAAGATCACCCTCACAAAGATTCTAATTCCAAATGAGCAACATTTACCCTTTTATCATATAATATTAGTAAGTTAGGGAAAGTAGGATGTGGACAAATTGTTTGGAGAACCACTATTCGAGCCATTACAGAAGGATCTTCTAGCTGATTCCATGAAAAATTCTACAATCACCTCACTCAAAGAAGTCAGGGTTCTGTCTCTGGGAAACAATTCCGTATATGTCATTTCCATTTGGTGCCACCACGAGGTGACCCTAAGGAGAACCAGGCCTAGGAGAAGACAAAAAATTCAGGGCTGAATAAATCTTGACTCCCTTGTTCCTTACACCTGAAGTCCTTGTAATGAAAGATAAATCTCTTCATTGCTTGGGTATATTATAGTTAGAGACTCTTTTTCTTATTAGAACAGAAGGCTTCCACACTGATCAATCTGAAATATCTCACAGTCATCACAAATCACTAACACAATCTAACTATACGAATTTCATAGATAACACAACTGAGTTTGGTAGATACTAATGTTCCTCAGAAGGAGATGGTTTACCAGTGACCAAACTAACTTATTACTAAATGGGTGAGTGAAAAGTCATATCTCTTACTATTGGCCTAACTCTGGGGTGCAACTGACACGGCCCTGCTGTGGATCAGGTGGAAGCTAGTCTCTAGATACGACTACAGCCTTACTTCAATACTTCCCCTGATCTATATACTTTCTGCACTGTTCCTTCTTTGGAGTTTGATTCCCACCCCCACCCCCACCCCCAAATTCACTAAAACTAGAACCCTTGCCTCAGGCTCTGTAACTATGGATCATGAGCAAAGAAATTAGAGAATTGAAATCATGTGTCAAACGTTGTAGGGCTAGACAAAAAGCAAAGCCAGGATTCAAACCTAAGTTAAAGTTAACTGGGCCATTCTGTTGCCTGGCTACTTTAGAACTTGGTGATGAAGGGATCAGGCATTACAGCTCACTTAGGACTTCTACCGCTTCGTCTCATTCTAGAAACCCAAGTCCCAAGCAGATGGCACAATCACAAAAAAGATATCCCACTGATGAGTTTTCTCAAGGCTCCCTTCATGTCCCTGTTTCTTAGGCTGTAGATGAAAGGGTTCATCATTTGAGGAACCACACCGTACATAACTGAAGCCACCGCAGTCTTCCTGGATGAGCCAGCAGCTAAAGAACTAATGTACACCCCCAAACCTGTCCCATAGAACAAGGACACCATGGAGAGGTGAGACCCACAGGTGGAAAAAGCTTTAAGCTTTGCCCCTGCTGAAGGCATTCTCAAAACAGAGGAGACGATTTGAGCATAAGAGAAAATGATCCCAGAGAAAGGAACAACTCCAAACAGGCTGCCCACAAAGTATAACAGGATGTTGTTGATGAGGGTATCAGAACAAGCCAGCTTGATGACCTGAGCAAGTTCGCAGAAGAAGTGAGGGATTTCCAGGTCCTTGCAGAAGGACAGCCGCAGCACCATCAGACTGAGGAGCAGGGCATTCACAACGCTAAGGAACAGTGACAGGAGAACCAGCAGGCCACAGAGTGGGGGGTTCATGATGACCGTGTACCTCAAGGGGTGACAAATGGCCACATAGCGGTCATAGGCCATTGTTACAAGGAGAAAATTTTCCCAACAGGCAAAAACCAGGACAAAGCACATCTGGGTGAGACAGCCTGCGTAAGTGATGCTCTGATTCTGTGCTTGGATGTTTAGCAGCATCTTTGGGATTGTGGCTGTGCTCATACAGATGTCAGTAAAGGAGAGATTGGAGAGGAACAAGTACATGGGGGTGTGGAGGTGGGAGTCACAGCTGATGGCCAGGATGATGAGCAGGTTTCCTAGGACGGTGACCAGGTACATGGTCAGGAAGAGGCAGAAGAGGAGGGGCTGCAGTTCTGGGTTATCTGTCAATCCCAGGAGAAAAAATTCTGAAACATCAGTTTGATTTCTGGTTTCCATGTTGTTGATGAATCTGATCGGAAAATGGAGTGAAAATAAAATAAAATGAATGGTCCCCAAATGAGTAGCAGCAACTGGGAACTTGTTAGAAATGCAAATTCTTGGTATCCGTCCAGATTCACTACTGATAAACTCTAGGGGTAAGGGCCAGCCATCTGGGTTTTAACAAACCCTCCAGATGAATTTGATATGTGCTGAAATTTTATAAACATGTATTATATTGTGAAAGCAAGAGAATACTGAAGTCTCTCCCTTTGCTACCTTCCCTCCCTCATGAGCTCTCACAATTTCTTCCTTCCACTCCCTTTACTGACACATTGTTATCGATCATCAACACTGTTTCACACCCTGAGCCAAGT